CTAGAAACGAACTAACTCCTAGACCACTGTCTGGTCTCTTGCTGTGTTTGTGATTTTTTTCCCCCTTTCTCTCTTCCCCTTGACCCCCATCCATTCCCTATATACAAAAGCTTTCTTTCCATTTTTTCCTTTTTTCTTACCCCTTCCTTCCTCCCCCCCCTCGTTTCCTTTCCCATTTGAACATTTTCTTCCCATTTCTCAATATGTGTTATACATTTTAGTTCTTATTTCTCCTTTTAATTTCTCACACCAGAGAAACACTGCAGTATTTAAACGTGTGTTCAATTTATTTCATTTAAGAATATGGTCTCAAAGTGCATCCATTTAGCCAGAAATGTCTCAAACTTGTCCTTTATGGTAGAGTAGTACTCCATTGTATAAAAAAAATCTTTATTCACTGGTTGATGGGCGTTTGGGCTGCTTCCAAGATTTAGCTATTACCAATTGTGCTGCTATAAACATGGGTGTGCATATATCACTGCGGTAAGATGCTTTTAATTCTTTTAGGAAGATACCAAGAAGGCGCTTAGCTGAGTTAAATGGAACTTCTAGTTTTAGCTTTTTGAGGAACCTCCACATTGATCTCCGCAGTGGTTGCACCAGTCTACATTCCCACCAACAGTGGAGAAGGGTTCCTCTTTTCCCCACAGCCCTGCTAGCATTTGTTATTGGTTGATTTCATGATAACATGTGCTCACGATTTCGACCTGTACCTCAGCACCTGCCTTCTGTTATTTACCTGAGTTGGACAGACCCTGCCTGGTTGCCTACGAGGAGCAGGCTGCTTCCACAGGGCTCACAGCATCACCTGCACTGTCCTGAGTCCTCAAAGGGCCCTTGGCTCATCTGCCTTGGTACCTGTCTCTCTAGGGTGCAGGGGCTTGTGGAGTCACTGCTCTCCCTCCTTCCCCCTCACCCCTGGCTGTCCCAGTAATGAAGATGGTCTCAAAAGTATGAAGTGACTGCTGTCGACTGTGCTGCTGCCCAGATCACCCCAGCTCTACCTGGCCTTCTCAAAGGGGCCCCACCCTCCACCTGTCCCTTTTGTGCCAGTTCTTGACCTGCATCAGCCTGGAACAGCCTTAGAATGTTACTAGATGGTGTTAGGGGCTGCTAGGTGACCCTGAACCTGTCTCTTCCCACTGCAAGGAGCCTATGCTCATGTAACCTGGAGTGGCTAGGCCAGGTGGCCCAAACCAGGACAGAAGGTAGCCACCGCTGTTGAGGACCAGGATCCAAGATTTTCTCCTCAGGCTGCTTGGGTTGGGCATTGGCGGGGGGGTTATAGAGGCAGGGAGGGACAGCAATATGCTAAGGCCTCAGAACCAGCAGCACTGACATGGTCAGAGGTGAGTGGAGGGAGCAGGCAGGAGCCAGGCCTCTCCATAGGCAGGCTCAGTGGAGGCAAATCTCAGGTGCATGCCACCTGAGGCTTTAGCATGCACTGTGAAGCCAGGTTACACTGGCATTGATGACCCATGTTTGTCATTGATGAGCTGTGTGACTGTAGGCTAGTTGTTGCTCTCGCTGTGCTTCCATTTCTTCATCTGAAAAATGGATGATAAAAAGCCCCTACCCTGAAATGTTATTGAAGTGTTCTGGGGATGACGAGGGCACTTTGTGACATTGTGAGCACCGTGTGGATGTCAGTTGCTAAGAGAAGCTCATGGAGCAGTGTCAGAACTCCCCAAAGCCCAATCCTAGGACTTCTTACTAACCTCCCTTGAGTCTGGGTGCCACACCTGTTAGAACTTAGGAATCAGCAAGGGCAGCACAAGGACAGGGAGAGGGAGTGAGTTGCCTGGATCCTACAAGGTTGAAAGAAGGGACCTTGCTGTGGAAGAATCTGAACTCACAAAGAAAGTTCCAGGGGGTGGACTGTATTTCCTGGCCTTCTTGCCACCCAGCAGCCAGGGCCTTAGAGACACCTGTTTTCAGTTTCCTCTTCATCCTGTCTGAAAGCCAAAGGCCAGTGGATAATCCGTGTCAGACAGGTGTTTGCCCCCTTTGGTACCTGTCTCCTGCCTGCTCTTTCTTGAGGACCTTATGAAGGATGAAACCGGAGATGAGCAGTCTGAGTCAAAAACAGCTCTCACTTGCCCTTGAAGTAAAGAAAGTCACACTGCAGGGTCAGGGAGTTTGAACTCTGAAAGACTACAAAAAAGTTCATCTTTAAAATACTCCTCTCCCTCCAGAGCAGGTATAATCTCCTCTCCCAGCCTAGCCAGAACAGGTCCAATGTGGCAGGAGGAAAATTGCCAGGACCTGACGCAGAGTAAGGCCCAGGGAGTAGCCTGTATGGCTGGGGATGGATCTGGGGTCCAACCCCATCTCCCTTGCATGGCTACTTTTGTCCTTTGGATACTGAGGCAGCAGCATGCATGGAACTAAGTAGAGCTTCACTCTGCACCTGACACTGGTGTGGGCATGTATTCACCTTCCACTGCTCCAGACTAATAGGTAAATATCAAATACATCATTAACAAGTCCACACCATGTGGCCCAAAACTAGTCCTTGCTGGGGATGCTCCCATACACCTTGCAGTGCACCCTAGGTGCTTTCCTTCCCTCCTTGCCCACACAGCTGGGGAGGCAGAGTGGTACTGTGGTGGCCTGCACCTGGCCTGCCAGCATTCCTGCTTGTCTGTACCACTAGCCCCAACCGAGCATGATGCTACTTAGATGCCTCTGATGGGGGCCTTTCCACCACTGGGAAAACCCTGTCCCATGTAGAAGGAAGGCATATCAGCAAAATTTAAGAACAGGATTTCTAATTTCAGCTTTATCAGGGAGATTTGTGTGAGAGGTATGTGTGGGGATATCCCATGCTTTACTGGAGTAGAATTATTAAAAATATGTGGAGAGAACATCAGACAGTATTCTGATGGACAGAAGTCCAGAAATCATCCTTCTTTCTCAGCCCATTCCCCATAGTCAAAGTGGGGTTCGGTAGGATCAGATGTGGCTGGGAAGTGCTTTGTAGCCTTGGCCCTGTTTGTGGCCTCCACCCCACCTTCGCTGAGTAGGCTTGAAGACAGAAGGGACAAGGAAAGTGGAGACCAAATACAAGGATGGCATGACTACTCAGAAGCTTGGCCAGAAGGGGGAGATGCAGGTCTGAGGGGCGTTTTAAGTCTGTCTCTCTGTAATGTACTAGGAAGTACCCACTTAAAGTTCAAAAAGGAAGCACCACAACAGGGCTGGCACCTTTCATTTGGAGCTAGTTGTGAAATAGTTCTGTTCAGAGGAGTCAGTATCAATACACTTAATGGCCACATCCCTGCTGTGCTACAGTATAGGCCCCCATGGAACTAAGTAGAGGCTTGTGGCTCAGCCATCGGCCTCACCTGCCCATTTTCTTGGCTCACTGTCTTCATGTTTAAAGTTGGGTTCCTGGGAGAAATTTTAAAAAAGAAAACAGAAAAGGGAATGCAGCAGGCTGGGTTCCCCCACAACGGCCTTGAGTCTAGGCTGTGTGTTGGCAGGAGGCTGGGTAAAGTGATTTGGGTTGTGTGAGTTTCCCAACAGCCAGTGGAAACTTCCAGGAATGCTACTCAGGCCAGCCGAAGGCTATTTCCGCTACCACTTTTATGAGATGTAGACCTTTCCCCTGCCAGCACTGGGAATATGGCAGTCTCTTTCAGCTTAGCTCTGCCTCTCAGGTGCAGTTCATGGGCCAGGGCAATCATTTTCCAGGCTCTGTCCGGTGACCCTGGTTCAGAACCTGCTGTCCCTGGTTATCTTGTGAGAAGAGGCTGACACCAGGCAGTGCACCCTCCTTGGCAGCTGACATTTGTGCAGGATGCTGCACAAATTTATAGCAGCCTTAAAAGGAAAACCCTCCCAAAATGTTTCAGTGTTGTATTAAGTGTATGCAAAGAAAGGTTTCCTTTCCACTGGACCAAGGTCCAGAGCCTGCATGGAACTTTGAGAAGGGGACAAAACCTCTTGGGTTCACCTTGCTCCAGTGAAGTTAATGTGCCCCTTCTAGTGTCTGCAAGCTGCACAGTGGAAAAATCAAGCCTGCCATATTCACAGTGGCCTTGTGCACGTGGCTTCCTCCACAGTGGGAGCAACCATTGGCTGGTGTGCCTGGTGTGCAGTAGCCACTCAGTAGCCCTCGATGAAGGCAGGAAAGTGAGAAGCAGAGCCATCGGGCCAGCCTGGGCCAATCTGAGCAAATGTCAGGGTGGGTGTGGCAGGCCTGTGGTGAGCTAGTTATTTAGCAGAGGTGGACAGTGCTGGTCTTTGCTGACACTGCCCAGAGCCTATCTGGAAACTGACTGTAAGGCTGGCCCTGACCTGGGAAGCGAGGGCTCAGCTTCAGGAAGGTGGCATGATGACAAGCATGGGGAGAGTGGCAACACACTGATTTACCTATGCTGTACACTCCATGTTGTGCTCCCACTTAGGAGGATAAAATGGCCAAGAGACATTGCATGTCACTCACTTGTGGCTGCCCTGGGCCTGACCCTAGATGGCACACTCCTACAGTAATCCTGTTGGACCCACACAGGCGGAGACCTGCCTAGACTCTCAGAGGTCCCGGGGGTATAGAGGAGAAGGGCCACAGGTGGAGTGTTCTTATTTGTTACTGTTTCCTGGCCTTTGGAATGGGGATGGCTGATGGTCTCCAGTTGTTTATTGACAGAGCCTGGCCCACAGGAAGCAGGTTGTGCTCCAGCCTAATGCCAGGGTACCAGGGTTGGGAATACATGACCCATGGTTGTCTAAGGTGTCTAGAGCTCTGAGACCTGCCATCTGCTTTCCCGCACTGCGTCCTCTTCTGCCCCACAAATAGTAGGAGCAGTAGGCATGGAGACGAGGGCTTTCACCAGCAGCCACCAGAGACAAGGGCCAGGCAGAGCCCCTTGTCAGGAAGAGCCAGCACTTGGCATCAGTGCCAGGCTGCACCAGCTGGAGAGAGGACTGGACAAAGGGATCCTTCGGGCAGCTGGGTGGTCCCTCCATTCTGAGCCCAACCACCATTTATTTTACAGACAGTGTCCATCCTGGAACAGCGATTGACACTGACAGAAGACAAGCTGAAGCAATGTCTGGAGAACCAGCAGCTAATCATGCAGAGAGCACAACCATGATCAGGGGAGTGAGAATCAGGAGCTCAGTTGATTTGGGGGGTTGGCAGGCCAGGGATTTGTACTGTGGGTCTTGGGGAAATAAAGAAAGGAATTCAGCTCTGTCGCAATAACAACTATAGTGAGCCCCAAGGCTTAAGCAGTTGTGCCCTCCACCTTGCTGTTTGCACCAGAAGCCTCTCCACTTGCAGCAGAGGGCTCCAGGCCAGGTCCTGTACAGAAGGGATGTTTGAGACCCAGCTGGCAGGACCACACTTAGTTTGATGTAAAAGATCCACTTGAAATGTTTGCTGCCTCAAAGACCTAAGGCTGCAGAACTTTCTCTGGATACCCTTGCCTTTCACTTACCCATGTGTTAGTTACTTTTCTCTCATTGCTGAGACAAAATACCTGACACCCAAAGTTGAAAGGGGTTTATTGGGCTTACAGTTCATAGAGGTTTCAGTCCATAAGCAGCTGGCTCCAAGGCTGGGATGGCAAACAAGCATCACAGAGGAGAAACAACATGGTGTGCACAAGACAGAAAAGGTAACAAGAGGGAGGCAGTTCATGATGTCCACACCATAGCAAAGGCAACAAGGTAAAGAACCTTCACTGCGTCTTTCTGCCTCTTCTGTCCCATCCAGACTACTAGGATTGTGGTGGTGCTGGACCAACTCACATGTAGCTGTTTAATGATCATGTCCTCTTAATCCCAGCATCACACATTCCAGATTCAGCTACCTCTGACAGAATGAGGATCTGGGGTGGGAGGGTGGGGCATCCAGACTCAAACCATAACACCTTACTTTTCAACCACGTGATTGGCTTTTTTCCTGGTGTGGCTTGGACTTTGACTGCTCTTGTAGTTGGATAGACTGGAAGTTTTCTCTATATCTGACAAAGGCTCATCTAAGGTTTGTCTGGGAATAAACAAGTTCTGTGGAATGGGCACTGGCCTTGACTTCTGTTCCACATTTGTTCACTGGGGTTTGGTGGCTTCCTTCTTTCTACATGTGTGAGAGCAAAGGAATCTGAAAATTCAAATTGACTTTATAGATCTTGTTGCAGGGATGGCTTGTTCTGGATGATACCTAATCAGCCCTCCCCCATCCCAGAGTCACAAATGGAAAATGAAAATGGCAGCTTAGGAGGTCTCTGCACTCGGGTCCAGGACACCCTTGTTTATAGCTGTTGAGGGAGCAGAGCAGCCAGAGCCTTCCATATACTCACCTTCCTCAGGCTGCTCCCTCTGCTTCTGTTGAGAGCCAAAGGCCTCAGGTATCCATTTTTCCATTTACTCATGAGGGTTTCCATGCCTCCTTCCTCTACATCTGCCAGAGTGAGTGTTTTCCATATGTCAGCATGTCCTTCATATCTTCAGCCTCCGGTGTCTGGGGGCTTTGCCAACACAGAGGTCCTTATCCTCCATCAAACCTGCCAAGGCCTGGGAGGAGGGTGGTAATGGTAGATCTTTCAGTAGTGTTTGGTATCATGTGGTTAGGGGACCCCAGGCTTTACAGCTTCCAAGGGGAAGCACCTGGAAGCCTCGGAACTTGGGGTGACAAGGGACAGCCTGTGTTTCACTCTGATGAATGTCTAGGATGGGGAAGCTGCCTCTGTCTGCCTGCACTGGGCAAGGAGAGCCACATTCTGGGGTCAGGCCTTGGGCTTTGCCTCTTTCTAGCTATGTGACCTGGACATTGTGGTCTAATCTCTCTGAGGTTAGATGATAATGGTGATAATTTCATACTGCTAGGGAGTGAACCCAGGCTTTGTACATACACTGGTAAGTATTCTACCCCTGAGCTATATCTATCATCCGCAAGCCTCAGGTTCCTACCTGTGAAGTGACAGTGACACCTACTCCAAAGGGTTGCAAGGTGTGTACTATACCCTAGCCACTGCAGGGCATGTGCTCAAAGGAACCCCATCACTCTGACCCCACCAGTCACCTAGGACAATGGGGCTGCTGTTAGTGACAGTTCCCTTAAGGTATGAATGGGAGAGATCTTTTGGTGCATGGAAGAGCCTGGCAGGCCCAGTGAACTGTGCTGAACTGGCAGGTAAGGCTCTCAGCTGCCTTGGGAGGTGGTGAGCTCCCCATCCCTACAGATTTAAGGAGAGCCAGGGCAACCAAGGTTCAGCCTGCTCAGCTTGTGGGACCAGCCTTGTCATCCCACCTATGCCAAATCTCCCTGTAAACTGCCCTAGGCTCCCTGTTCTGATTTCTGGACCTGGAGTTGGAGCTTCCAGGCATTGGCACTTGTGATTTGAACAGCCAACCCAGAGAAAGTTCATCTCCAGAAACAGTGGTCCATGAATGAGGACAGCAGAACCTAAGCAGGATCTCCAAGGCTAGCATGGCAATTCTTGCTCATGGGCCAAACCAGGGTTGCTATTGTCTCTGTGTCCAGTTTATACCATGATCAAGTTTAAGAAAAATGGATGTTACAGAGATGGCCTGTGCATGATGTAGTAATCCTCTGGTGGGTTACTGCCAGCGGAAGTTCTACTACTTGTCAGATATATACTGGAGGAGCACTCCCCAAACACACTTTTTCTTGTAGGATGATAACTGCACAGCCTGGATGGGCTCTCTCAGGGAAGGCAGGCTAGAGCTATGGCCAAGCTTGGCTAAGCCCACATGTACTGAACTACACAGCCTGCTGGGCAGGGCTCACTATAGTGGACAGGGACCCTCCTGATGTATTTCCACAAGCTTGCACTCACTTACTGCCTTGGTGGAACCACACCTGGACCTGGAATTTGGAGGACCCATGGGTCGTAGTAGGCAAGCACTATACAATTGAACTACATCTCTTAGCTTACAGGTAGTTTTTTGGAATGCTGTGCTTCTTTTAAATAGGGACCTGCCCCTGTCTCCTCCATACCCACAATGCAGCTATGGCGTGGCCAAGTTCCTAATTTGGGGCCAAGTTCTTCCCAAAATTCATGTCAGACCCAAGTTGGAACCTCACTGTTCTGAGAATCTGGGGTCAAAAGTCATAGCTAGGGGAGGGGACAGGGGATCTTACGGAGTTCTGACTCCTGCGGGCCCTATCTAGCCACTTCCATCCCTCATCCTGTGACGACACAGCAGGAACCTGAACTGACAAACATCTGGGATGATGAATGGATAGGACTGGGTGTGGGGGCAAGTGCAGGGCCTAGGTGGGATCCAGGTGGCTGGACAAGGTTGTGGGCCACATGACAAGGCCTTTCTTGTATCTCCCAGATGACACTTCCTGTAGTCCTATCCAAGGCTTCCTTGGGGCTGGGCTATTAGCAGTTCCCACTCTTGCTGTCAAGCACAAAAGTAGCCTGCACAAATTGCAGATGTCTCAGCTCACCCTTCATCTCTCCTAATTTTGAATTTTGGTAACTGAGTACCCAGAAAACGGACTTGGAGCTCTGTGTATAGAGCTGTCTTTGTCTCCTTCTGTTAGCAAGATGGGATGAGTACCTCAGCAGCAGTTCCCAAGACCCCTGCCCACCCCACTTCATGTCCTCATCTTTCTAGGAAAAGAAAACAGTAGGAGTCAGGTTTAAAGTACCACTCCCTTTGATCTTTTATCAGATCCTTTGGGATCCAGGAATGAACCCACATTTCCTGCTGGAGAAGCTGAGGCAGGCAGGCCAGATGTTCTTGGACCACCGAGCCAGGAAGCCCCCCAGGAAGAGGCTTTGGAACCCACCTATGCCAAGTCCCTCCTTTCTGTATCACCATATCCCGGGACCCCTGACAGGCTGAGTCTAGGGGTCCCCGCAGCCTGTGAACACTTGCCAGGGTCTACAGCACTTGCCAGCCTGCCTTGGTAACACTACCATGCTCCTACCCAGCACTGTCCTGTGAGCTGCTTGCCATGTCTCTGTGAGTTGTCGTGGTAGGGCCATGGGGACAAGGGCACAGCAAATCAGAGCTGAACCCCACCCACCCCAGCTCCAAAACCTCGGAGAGGCCCCTGTTTATAAGATAGAAACTGCGCCAGGGATTTAGCTCAGCGGTTCGGTGGCCTGCCTCGCAAACGCAAGGACCTGAGTTCGATCTCCAGTACCACAAAAAAAAAAAAAAGAAACTGTCTCACTGGGCACTCGAGTGAGCGTTGTCTGTGACTGTCCATGTCACTCCACAGCGAGGCCTTTTCCCTGGGACTTGGCTCCACATGTCAGTGGGCACAAGGGGTGCCCATGTCCCAGGGTCCTTTTGGCTCAAATTCTCAGTGGCCGGTGTGACTGTCTCCAATCTCAATCTCTCTCCCTCTCTTCTCTCTCTTCTCTCTCTCTCTCTCTCTCTCTCCCTCTCCTCTCTCTCTCTCTTTCTCTCTCCTCTCTCAACACTACAAATTTGTATATCATCCTTTCAAAGGGGCTGTGCTGATCTCTGAATTGTTCCAGCTTTAGTATATGCTGCTGAAGGGACCCCACTATCTCCTACTCTCACCCCCTCCCCACTGTTTGCACCCCCAGTGGTGAGGAGAAAGTGGGCCCTTCACACCGAGGGGATTAGTATTCCAAAGCCACCTCTTCCGCTTCACTAAGGCTGCCACTCCAGCCAGTGCAGGCTTGGGGTGGGTGTTTGTTGTTGCCTGGAATCCCGGAAACCCAGCCCGCTGAGCAAGCAAGAGCATGGTGAGTCACTCTGGTGTCCCAGCTCCCTGTCATTAACCTCATCTTCCTAAATGACTTGCTCAAGATGGGCCCCTGATGACTCCTGCCTTGACTGACTGTTGTGTTGCTATTTACAGTGGACCAGGAGGTGCTCCAAGGTTCTGTCCTGCCAGGTACCCCCACTCCACCCTGTCCCACCTGCCCTAGGCTGCTGAGGAGAGGACCATGCTAAGGCAGCAGTGGTAGCTAATATTGACCCTGGCACTGTGGGCTCACTCCTTATCCACTTTGGGGAGTATTCCCAGAAGCTTCATACTGCCTCCCTGCCCCATGAAGGCCCAGGATATGGGCTCTCATGACCATGCTCAGGATGAGCCTGGAGCCTGCCCAGAGTGCCTGCGGCAAAGCCATTAGGAAGCATTCTGTGCCAGCCCCTCCTGCCAGGCCATGTGGAAACACTCTCTCAAGAACCTATTAATAGCGCAGGGCCCGGGAGTGTTTTCACTTTAGGTGAGGCCACCTAGGGCCCATCTGCCTGGAGCATGGCTGTGGCCAGAGCCCCCACCCCTCTCCACTCTCCCCTACTGCATGTGAGAACTCTGAATGCAGGAACAGGAACTTCAGGAGATAAAGTGATGTCTCAGCCCTCCACTTCTGTTTGAGGCACAAGCGTGTGTATCCAAAAGTGAGACTTAGGCATGTTTTGTGGGTACCTCGTAGGCAGAGGCCTGGCCTGCAGGAACCAGGACAAAGTTAGCCACACACACACCAGCACCTTCCCAGCTGGGCACCTTGACTTGGCATGGGAGTCAGTCCTGGTTTCCAG